TTTCCAGTACTTGAGCATCTGAAGTGACTGCAGAGTACTGACAATGTCCACAGGATTCACTGCCGTCTCTTGACTGATCTCTGAACAAGACAAAAAACAAAAAAGGGCGGTGACATGGATGTCACAGTGAACATGCCTTCAAACAGTCCCTTGCGTGGCAGGGGCAACTTAACTTACCCTTGATGGAGATCTCTTTGCCCTTGAAGTTGCACATGTACCGCAGCAGCACTTCCTTCCAGTAGCTGCGGTAACTGATGAGGCCCAAATCTGAGAGAGGGCGCTCTGGAGAACCCACCTTCTCTTCAACCTTTGACAGCAGGTAACCTAGAACCATGACAAACAAAGACTGTGATGCAAGTGTTGAGGAATAACAGCATCAGAGATAATGACATCACAACTACAACTGTTCTGAAATAATTCCAATATTAATGGGAATGGTTACAGTTTTAACTTGCAAATGGTTATTATGTCAATTACTGATGCCATATATAGAGGCTCATAGGGCTGGGGGATTTTTCTGATTTTATCGATTAATTCGAATTTAATGTTTAAATGTTACAATTAGACACTTTGACAATATGCCAATCATAACAGTAAAGAGAAAAGAATGATTCAACAGCATGTCGGCGCACGTGATTAACCGCTCACTACGTGATTAATGCGCTCTTATCGCAGGGGCCGTTCACACAGAATGCGCTTTTGTGTTGACAAAGATGCAACATGGACAGTGGAATAGAAAAACATGCAAGATGATGTGAGTGAACTTCTTTTAATTTGAGCGCTGCGTTTTTATTATGCCGTATCATGCATGAGATGCTGCAAGAGATGCTAGTGCAACAGTCAAACGCGTCCATGTTTACATAGAAAAAAAACAATGGAAAAGCAGCGCAATCGAATTTAAAAAACCTGTAAAGAACTTCTACTGTATGTCTAATATTTCATGTTTGCATCATAGTGACAGGCTGAAAGCTGCTGTTCATTGTTTTCACAGAACATTTATTGTTAATAGTCTACTGGTGTTATACCTTCAGAAGTCAGAAAGAGCTTTATTAACAAGTATGTTTACACAGACAAGGAATTTGACTTAGTGGCAGGAGCTTCCAGTGCAGAAGAAAGTATGTACATAGTGCAAACTAGTGCAGCAGACATAGGAATTACACAGTAGAGATGGAGTATAACAGTAATATAAGAAAAACAGAAAATTAAATAATGCACTATATACAGAAGCAGAAATATAGAGAAATGTAACTGTTTAAATGAATGTACAGATATATTTACAAGTGTGCAGTTTAGAAATGTACAATTTTCGGATTCTATGTATAAAAGCAGTCATTTTGAATTACATTGATTGTTGAGAATTTTTTGAAGCATTTTCATTGTAGCCTATTAT